CTCCGAGCACCAGAGGAAAACCTGCCTCCCCACGCAGAGACCGAGGTTTCCAGGGGCCAGTAGGAGTTGAGTCTGTCACGTGGACACTCAGCTGGGTGGTCACCTAGCACATGCTCACAAATGCTGCCCCCTGGAGGCCTGGGGGCCCCGTGACTGAGCCAGTGGCCACTTACAGTTTTTGTATCTCCCGGGACTGATCTCTCGCTCAAAGGGCAGTTTAAATAATATGCATCCGCTCGGCTTTCTGGAAAACAGAAACCATTTCTGGCAATGGAAGGGTCCCAAGGTCACCCAGGGGTGAATCCTGACTTCCCAACTAAAGGGCACCCTCCTCCTCCTCTGGAGCCCCAGCCGAGCTGCAGGGGGCAGGCGGGGGATCTGCAGCGATGTTGCTCCTGGTGCCAGGAAAGACTCACATGATGTTCATCCTGAACTCCAGCCTTTGGAGGTCGTTCAGGACGAAGGTGAAGGGAGGCAGGGGCAGGTGCTGCTTCTTCTCAGGGATGGGCAGGGTGCCCACCCAGTACTTTATGTACCACGTGCCTAAGAGCTGGGGAAGGGTGTTGCGACAGGGCTTTAGGGAGGGAAACTCTGAAAGAACAGAAGGTCCGGGCTGTCTCTCAATCAGCCGCCTGAGCCGACTGCCACAGCTCAGAGAAACGGCGAAGACGGGACGAGTGCGGGAAAGAGCAGGGCTGTGAGGAAGCCTTTTCTCTTTTGCATGTGGAGGGCACAGCAAGGTGTCCCCACACTTGAGTCCCTCCCTCATGGTCAGCACAGGACGCTGATGCGGAAAGGAAATGTCAGGGGGATGTCCACGGAGCTGTCACATCCCTGCGTCCCAGAGGAGGTGGGTTAATGGGCCCAGTGAGTGAGAACAGAACAGAACCCAACCCTGTCAGAAATGGACGTTCCCGAGAGAAGCAGGAAAGGGGCCAGCAAACCAAGAGGAGTGAATGGAGTAAGTGTGCATGGAGCCCACAGTGAGGGTCCCGTGGCTTTAAACTCACTTACCTCAGAGGTGTCCATGGATGTGTGCTCATCAACCCTGCCCTCATAGATGCCTGTCTACTTCCATCCGTCCATGCACCGCCCATATACCCACCCACCATCCACCACCATCCATCCACCACCATCCACCACCATCCATCCACCATCCACCACCATCCATCCATCATCCACCACCATCCACCATCCACCACCATCCACCACCATCCATCATCCACCACCATCCACCATCCATCATCATCCACCATCCACCACCATTCATCATCCACCACCATCCACCACCATCCACCATCCATCATCCACCATCCACCATCCATCCACCATCCACCACCATCCATCCACCATCATCCACCCACCATCCACCACCATCCACCACCATCCATCATCCACCACCATCCACCATCCATCATCATCCACCATCCACCACCATTCATCATCCACCACCATCCACCACCATCCACCATCCATCATCCACCATCCACCATCCATCCACCATCCACCACCATCCATCCACCATCATCCACCCACCATCATCCACCATCCACCACCATCCATCATCCACCACCATCCACCATCCACCACCATCCACCACCATCCATCATCCACCACCATCCACCATCCATCATCATCCACCATCCACCACCATTCATCATCCACCACCATCCACCACCATCCACCATCCATCATCCACCATCCACCATCCATCCACCATCCACCACCATCCATCCACCATCATCCACCCACCATCATCCACCATCCACCACCATCCATCATCCACCACCATCCACCACCATCCACCACCATCCACCATCCACCACCATCCACCATCCACCACCATCCACCACCATCCACCACCATCCATCCACCATCCACCATCCATCATCCAACCTACTACCCCAGGGCACAGGAAGACACCCTGCTCCGCCGTGGGGACTGAGCATCACTCAGCAACCCCTCCTCTGCCAGGAGACCTCACTGATGACACAAGAGAGGGGGCTCTGGTCAAAGTCCCCCCAAGCTGCATCCAGCCAGCCTGTGACATTCTGCCCCAGATTGTCCAGAGAGGGGCTCCTAGCCCAGTGAAGGAGCCTGACCTGGGACTGTGCCCCACGCCAGCCTCCCGAGCTCTCACCTCGTTAGTTCTGGCATGAATAAGCTGGGTGTCCTTGGCTCTCAGCACAAAGAACAGGCTCAGCCCGGATGTCAGAAGGAACAGCTGCATCGTCGGTCCTAGGCCCTCACTTCTGCTCCCCGATCACCTGGCCTCCCAGCCGCCCATTTATCCTCTTGATGGGCCGACCTGGAGACAGGGCCCAGCCTCTCCCTCACCTGCACAAAGGTCCCTTAGTTTGCAGTGTAGGTGGTGATTAAGTCGTTTTGCTTGGATCCCGTGAATGGAGGTCACCTGCCACCATCACCCTCGGGTTGGCCTCCTGAGAGAGCTTATCTGGATGGGAGAATGTTCTCAGAATGGGGAGTAGCTGCCTCTAAATTAGGAGCTAGGAAGATAAAACAATGGCTTCCTTGTGCCCCCACAACCCTGGGGCCATGGGTGCACCCACCCCCACAGACCCGGACTAGCTCCGGTTCTCCACCCCTTGTCCCCAGGAGAGCCGGTCTGCATCCAGGCTCCAGCTCCCACCCCGGGGCGGGTGCCCCACCCCTTCCCTTCCCTCCTGGCCNCTGGGGTGGGTGCCTTGTAAGAAGAGGCCGTGGCCAGAGCTCTCCCACCACGCGAGGGCCCACCAGGAAGCGAGGCTGCCCGACCCCCACCCTANCTCCTGAACTCCAAGCGGGCGTCCAGCCTGCTCTAAACACTCCACCAGCCGGCCCCTGCCGCTCACCGGTGCTCGGCCCCCCTCAAGATCTTTGGGGTCTGGAGGTCTGGCCCACACATTGCTGGAGGAAAGTTTGGGGTTGGGAGACAGGGATTTTCAGTCAGCTCATTGCCTCAGTGGTCCCTTGTACCCGCTGCATCGGGCCAGCCTGTGACTTTCTGCCCCAGATTGCCCCGCGAGGGGCCGTTCTGGGACTTGGGGCTCAGCTCCGACACTGCCTCCCCAGGGAGTGGAAATGACACCCCCTCCCTACACCCCCTGCCTGAATTCTGTGGAGCACATTCCATTTCCTGAGGTGGCCGTGACAAACGACCACAAACTGGGGGCTTAAAACAACAGAAATTTACTTTTTCCCAGTCCTGAGGCCAGAAGAATGAAACGCAGGGGTCAGCAGGGCTGTGGCCCCTCTAGGGGCTCCAGGGAAGGTGGTCCCAGCTCGGGGGCTCCAGCTGCTCTGGGCTTGTGGTCACATCCCTCCAGCCTCTGCTCTGTGCTGTGTCTCAGGTCCCCCTTCTCTGCTCCGGACACCAGTCCTTGGATGTAATTACACCTGCAAAGGCCCTATTTCCAGATCGGCTCCCTTCACAGGCTCAGGGTGGGTGCATCTTTCAGGGCCACCATTCAGCCATGTGCTCCCCTCCCTGGAACGACCCGGTTTGTGTCTATCTTATTGCAAGCGCTGACCCCAGCAGGGGCCCAAGGGCACAGGTGGACGCTGGGGGCTCACAAAGGTGCCTCTGTGCCTGTTGGGGGCAGGGTGCCTCCCCCATGCACTCTCAGTGAGCCCTGGGTGAGGACCTGAAGGTGTCGGCTTGATCCTATAATTACCCCCAGGAAGGCGCTGCTGGGGTGGGAAAGGGGCCGGCCCAGTGCCCTTTCAGGAGACCAGGAGGCAGGTCCAGGCCTCGGGAAAGGCTCTTGGGAACACTCCCAGGGCAGCACGCCCTGGCCACGGGGTCCCTACGGGGCTGCAGAACCGCCCTGGGCTGCGGCTGCCCTGCCCCCATGGGAGTAGTCACACACTCACTGCCCACCAGGACGCGGAGCTCAGCGGGTCTGATAACTCCCGTCAGGCCCGAGCTGTGTGACCTAGAGGGGCCTCTGTGGGGTGTGGCCCACAAGATCCTGCACCCACGCCCAGCACCCTGGCTAGAGGAGACGGGGGGCCTGAGACGGGAGACGGGGTGAAGGGGGGCGTGAACTGGGTGGCCAAGGTGAGGGGTGGTACAGGCTGTGCCCAGGGCCTGGAGCTTCCTCTCCCCCACACCCTCGAGACAAGCAGAGTACCCAGGCGGCAGGGTACATCGATCCGTGTTGGTGTCCGGCGGGCGATGCCGTGGCTGCTGTGCACGATCCGGGCCCATCTCTCCGTTGCCGCCCTCCCCGAGGGGTTTTTCAAAGGGCACCCGCTCCCCAGCCCCACCGTAACTTGACTCCCACCACCATTCACTGCTCGGCTCAAATGGCGCTTCCTCCAGAAGCCCTCCCTGACTGCCCCCCCACCCGGCGCGTCACGCCTGCTTCGTTTGCCCCCCAGGTCGGTTTCTCAGCCTCTCACTGTGCTCAGTGACACGCCACGTCCTCCCCTCCTAACCAGGGGTCAGTTCTGCGAGAAGTGCCTTTGCCTGACTTGCTCACCGCTCACCCCCGGGGCCTGGCTCGGGGCCTGGACCTGAACAGGTGCTTATAAGCATTTGGTGAACAGGAGAATGGCGTCCTGAGAGAGTGCCGGGTGTCAAGCACAGAGCATGGCGGCCTCGCTGCACAGAAAAAGCACACGGCAAGGATGACAGTGGACCGGCCCCTGGTCTATTTCACAGCAGGTGAGGGACAGAGGCATCTTCCTGCCACGTGGCCCAGAGGACACGGCAGAGGGGGCCTGTGACGGTAAAGGATCCCTCGGGTGCAGCCACGGCCCAGGGTTTCACACTGTCCATGGCCTGGCCTCACCGGACACCTCAGCAAGCTGCTGGGTGGGAGCACCTGCGGTCGGGACCAGCGCTGCCGGGGTGCCGGGGGACCGCACGTGGAGCCCCAAGGAAAGCGCAGGAGGACGCTGGCTCTCAGGGCAGGATGGTGTGTGCACAGGAGGCTGCGAGAGACCAGAGCAGTGATGAGGGGCTGGGGCCACGTGGCTGGACAGGCCGGCCGTTCTCACATGTGCTGCCCGGGGCCCCACAGAGGGTCCTCCGGCCACAGTGCAGAGACCCGGCCGGCCGAGCGCGTGGGCCCCGGTGCCGGGAAGGACCGGGCCTTCACAGGGGCCTCAGACCTCCAGGGCGGCACCGTCACCCTCNGGGGGGGGGGCGGGGGCATGGCCCGGAAGCCTCGCGGCCGCGTTGTACCGTCTTTCGGGAGAACGGTCACGGCCCTCGCAAGCTCCCGGATCTCACAAATGTCCACGAACTTCCTCATGCTCGGGAAGCTGGACTCGTTCCGCCGGCCTGCGGGCGGGAAGCAGGGTCATCGCGTCGGCGTCCAGCCCTGGCCCCTGGGGCTGCCGACCCCGGCCCAGCCCCCGGCCCCCCAGATGCCCTCCGAGTGCGTGGGATGGAGAAGCAGGGGTGCTGCTGAGGGAACGAGGACAGCGAGCGGGTGACGGAGACGTGGGTGTCCCACCAAAGCGTGGCCCGGGCGGTGATGAGGGTGGGTCCTCGGGCTGGGGTGGGTGCCTTGTAAGAAGAGGCCGTGGCCAGAGCTCTCCCACCATGCGAGGGCCCACCAGGAAGTGAGGCTGCCCGACCCCCACCCTGTGGGCACCCTGGGCAACCAGAGGCAATGTCCTCGTGTAAGCTGCCCGGCTCTGGTGTCTGCCCAGCGTCCCTCACAAACGCCCCCTCCCAGCCCCCACCCACCACACTCACTGCCCTGGACACTGGCCACCAGGGAGGGACCCCGGCGCCACTGGACTCACTGAAGAGCAGCAGGGTCTTGGAGGTCTGGCTGGCCCGGCCCAGGCGCAGGTCGACCACGCCATAGCTGTAGTCGGTGGACAGCACCCAGAAGCCCTGCACCCCCTTCACTGGACAGAGGGAGCACAGGGCCATCTAAGTCCTTCGCCCACACGGGGTGGGGCGTCTGGGAGGCTTCGGAGGGTCTCCCCCACCCCACCGTCTGGCCCAGGCCACTGGGACTGCACCCGTCTCGTGGGCTCTGGGAAGGACAGGCTCTGGGACCGCAGCCGGCCTGTCTCAGGTGTCCACTGGGGGGCACTGCCGTCGGGGTCGTGCCCAGTGTCTCCGTGGCCATGAGCCCCCGCACCCTCCACCCCACCTTTCCTCGCCGCCCCATACGCACAGGTGTTCCTAAACACCGGCTTCTTCCTGTCTTTCCTCAGAATCACCGTGTGAGACTGGCACCCCTGGGACCTGGGGGAGGGCAAGGGGGGCTCTGAACTCATGGCCAGGGAGCCCCGCCTCCCACCTGCGGCCACCAGCCCCACCCAGGAAGACCTCTCGTCCCACCCTCTGCTCCGTGGGACCTGGTGGCTGCCCAGGGCCCCCTGGATGACAGTGGCTTCTCCCCATACCAGCCCTTTGAATTTCAGGGGCAGGAGGTGACGAGGGTCGTGGCTATAGGGTCAGTCCTGGTGGGATTTCCAGGCTGGCCCACAACCCTGCCCCCCCTTTTCCTGTGGAGAGGGAGCTGCCGTGGGCTGTTCTTGGCCGGTCTGTGGAGGGTGCGCTGGGGCGTCCGGCCCATCCCCTCACCGGTTGAAGGCGAGGACCACCTTCAGCTGGCCCACCCTGTGGACCTGCACCACAAACGCCCCCAGCTTCCTCTTGTCTGTGCCCGGCAAGAACCCCCGGGCATCAGAGGCGATGGCAAGAATGTACCAGAACCCTGAAAACTGCAAAGAGGGTGCTGGGGAGTATGGATGGGAAGCACCCCCTCCCCTAATCCCCAGGGCTCCCTCTAGGGCCCTTCAGAACTTACCAGACAAGTGACCCTTCCTGAGGCCCAGCCCACTTCCAGGGTCATGGGGGCCAGAGCCCGAGACAACACAGGCTGGGCCCTGGGCACTGAGTGCCCAGCCTCCTTCCCACATGTGCCTCCCCGGGGCCTCCCAGAAGCCCCATCCCACTGACTTCTGCTACAAACCCAAGCTCCCAGGCACAGCCACAAGCCCATCAGCCTGTGCCCACGGCCGCCCACAGCCGCCCCCACCGGAACCTGCCACCGGCCAGCAATCTCATTCCAGAACAGGCCCTGCTCATTCCGCCCCCCTCCCTGCCCACCTGGCATGTCCAGGTGACCTCAGGCCACACCTGTCTGGGGCCCTCTGCTCCACCCCACTTTGGGGGTTCCGGCCCATGGGGCCCACCTTTGTCAGTTGACTTTTGCAGCCCCAGATTGTCCCCAAAGAGGCCGTCAGCCCCTCAGGGAGAGGCCAGGTAGGCAGCCTCCGGGCAGTATGGAGTTTCTGGCCACCTGGGGTTGTCCATGGTCTCAGGTTGCCAGGTGAAGGTTGTCAGGGAACGCTGTCCCACCTCTCCCATCCTGCACCCCAGCCCTCTGTGGCGGAGAACCTGGCTCAGGGCCTGAGGCTCGAAGCTCACCTTGTTCCAGTTGAGGTTGTGGGACTGCCTGGGGAGCTGCTCCTGCGGCTGGGACCCCACAGCCAGCACCAGTGCCAGGACCAGCACCAGCAGCTGCTGCCCCAGCCCCATCCTCGCCCTCCTCCCTCAGCCGCCAGACACTGAGTTTAAATCTGGCCTGCCTACCTGCCCTGCCGTGGGTGTCCGGCCAGCCCTCTAGAGGGCCGGGGTGGGCCAACGGGGAGGGACGGGGGCTTTGGGCCCTCCCCTGGGCACAGAGGGCCGGCCCTGGGCTCCCAGCCCTCGGAGCTGCACAGCCACCTGGGAGGAGCTGCCTGCTGCCTGGGAGGCCCTGAAGACGGAGGCCATCGTGTTCTCACGGTCACTCCCCTGGGCCTCTAGTAGCCAAGGCACGTGGCCCCTGGGGTTGTCTCACCCGGCAGTAAGCGCCCCCAGGAGAGAAGCATCACCGTGGTCACTGCATTGGGAGTTCCTCACATGGAGCGGGGCTCGGACGTGCTGTGTGGACATCGGGGCTGACTTCTTGACGCCAGAGCTGGGACTGACAGTCGGGCCAGGCTGGACATGTTTGCACGTGTGCACCTGTGCATGTGGGTGCGTGCTCTCCTCAAAGAGCAAGGCCCCTGCATGCACCTGACCAGGAGCGACAGGCAGCCTCTCCCTGTCCCGCCCAGCTCCCCGATGGCCTTGCTTCTGCCAGACTTCAGGCAGGGCCCCCAGCTCACAGGAGGACAATAGGCTCAGGCCCTCTGCTGCTCCTGCCCAGAGCCCAGGCCGGGGAAGGCCAAACTCAAGCCCTGGACACTGTGCACCCCCGCCAAGCACTGGTGCCAGCTTCCTCAGCCCAGTGTCCTGACCAGGCTGCATCCAGACCGCAGGGCCTTCCTCCAGCCCAGGCCCACCAGCCCCTGCCCACCCTGGGATCTTGGCGACTGCTGCCCTTCTCCAAGCCCAGCCCCCTCCTCTGACCCAGAGGGGCTCTGACGAGGGACGCAGGTACAGACCAGGCCTCTCGTCCCAGAGCCGGGTCTCTGCTCCATGGGTCAGCCCTGGGCCCACCTCACCCCACCCCATCCCAGCTGGAGCCCCAACCAGAGCCCAAGAAGGCAACACTTGGGCAGCGGCCCATCTTCCCAGCACACACGAGAGGCCCAGGGCCAATTTGCCGATTTGTGGAATCGCTTTATTTGGATCTGCAGCCAGAGCTCCTGGGTAGCTGAGCTCAGAGGGCAGCGCCTGGCCAGCCCCCACCAGGACACGGTGGGCACTGTCCCCCCCGGGGGCCACAGCATTCACTGAAAACCAAGACAAACATTGGTGACCCAGGTTTACCTTGAGAAGCATCTGCCCCCCAGCCCCCAGCCACTGGCCCCTGCTGCCCACTGAATGTGAGGGCTCCCAGGGCCCCAGGCTCCTCCTGCCACACGGGGAGCCCCGGGTGATGCTCGGAAAGCAGCTTACCTGGAAGGCCTTGTGCGCACAGGTGACTAGAGGGGGAGTGAGATGGACTGTGAGGCAGGCAGGTCAGACTGCAGCTGCCCCGGCCCCAGGAGCCTCCCAGTCCCTGCCCATAGTGTCACCTGAAACGGGGACCGTCCCTGCAGGCCTGACTCCGCAGGGAGTAGGTGACTCCTTGAAAACCACCCCCAGTTCTTCCTGACTCCCAGAGGGTCCCGAGACTGGCAACGGTGCCTGGGGACACTCACGGTCGGTCTGCAGCCTGGCCTGCTGCTGCGACAGGAAGCCCAGACCCTGGCTCCACTGTGTGAAGAAGCTGAAGGCCTCGGGGCTGGCCAGGTGTGTCCGACCTGCAGGGAGGCCGCCCTCTGAGAGCGTGCGGGGGGCTAGGAGGGACTGCCTGCAGCGGGCCTGGACGGCCGACAGGTAGGACCGCCCCCCGGACCCCAGGCCACGGGCCACGCACTGTACAGCTCCACCGTGGTGAAGGCCTCGTCCTGCTGCTCCAGGAGCGTGAACACGATGGCATAGTCCCTGAAGTTGGTGCCCAGCACCCGGTACTCCAGCACGCCCAGGGCTGGCAAACAGAGCCCGAGGGGCAGGGCCATCAGACCTCCCAGTGGCCCTCCCAGCAGGCTGAGCCCCCAAGCTCTGCCCCATCCCTTCCCGCCCCGAGCCCGGGCACAGAGCTCTCAGGGACGGAGGGGGGGCACCCTGGCAGTGACTGGGATGCGATGGGTCACCCTCCCCAGAGCCTGTCCCCACCAGGGCTGAGTGACACCCCCTTGCACACTACAAAGGGAGGCCTGGGGTCTCAGCTGAGCGTGGTGGGCACGGTTGAGTCCTCTGTCCTCAAGATTGGCGCCAAGCCTCTGACAAAAGGGGGTCCTCTCACTTCCAGGTGGAGAGCTCACTGAAGCCTCAGGGTGGAGTCACTGCCTTCCCCTCCACACTGGCCCTGCCTGCAGGGGGCCTGGGGATGCTGCAGAGGACCGAGAGCCCCGGGAAATGGAGCCAGCCCCCACCCTGCCCTGGACAAGACCGCAGGGGCATCCTCCTTACAGGGATTCTCGAACACCCACGCAGAGTTTTGCCTCAGCAACTCCACCACACTCAGATTACACCTCTCCAACCTGGGGAAGAGAAGGCCCACCGTCCACTCAGGGCCCATTGTCCACTCAGGGTCCAGACGCGGGACCACAGAGGAGAGTTCTGCCACCCAGACCCACTGCCAACCGGCCAGCGAGGCCACGGGTCCTGCCTTACCCCTGATGGCTCCCGTTACACGGACCCCTGCTCCAGACCAAATTGAACCCGCCTGGGGCTGGACTCAGAAGAGAAGGTGTGTGAGCATCTGCCACAGACAGAGGGATGGCAGGTCCTGGAGGTGACCGTGGTGGTGGCTGCCCAACAGTGTGAATGTACCTGAGGCCACCGAGCCCTGCACTCAGACCTGGTGAAGGTGCTGAAGTTTGTGTGTCCTTACCACAATTTACATCTGCTTTTTTATTTTAATTAAAATAAAGACAAGAGAGAATAAAATAAAAACTGTTTGAAAGACTGCCCTTGTGGACCAACATGGAGCTGTCTCTGTGCCCGGGGCAGCTGGACTCAGCCCTGGCATCTGCGGCCACAGCCGGTGGGCCAGGCCCAGGGCACTCACCTGTGGCGGGAGGACAGCACCTTCAGCTTGTTTTCAGGAGTGAGCGTCACCACGACTCCCTCGATGTTCTTCGTGGCCTTCTCCACGGCGAAGCCCTTCTCACCAGAGGCCACGGCAACGACATACCAGGACCCCAGAAGCTGGACACAGGAGGCACTGGTGAGAGGCCCTCCCTCCAGACCTGGAGGCACCCTGTTCAGCTGGGAGCCCAGGCGCCCCTTGTGCAGGCCAGCCCGTCCCCCCACAGCCCGTGTGGCTGCCCAGGAGGACCGTTACCTTCCCCGGGTCCAGCTTCCCCAGCCAGGCTGCAGGGACCCTGGACACTGAGACCAGAGCCAGGAGGGTCACCAGCACAGCCCTCATGCTCCTCGAGGTCCACACACCAGCACACATCCCTCAGGCCACAGGTGGTGGTCCCTCTGGCCTCTAGAAACCCGCTTATATGTCTCCGATATGTCTCTGTGGGCGGCAGTAACCACCACACACCACTCTGGCCTCTCCTCTTGCAAGGTGGCCAAATTACCCAAAGGGTGGGGGCTTGTAATTCTGTGGTGGCCTCTGTGCTGGGGAGTGGGGAGCATGTGCCCTGCTAACCCTGGGGTCTCGACACTTCCTTCCACTCGGAAGGTTCCAGAACCAGCACCCTAACCCCAGGCCACACCCCCTGGCTCCTTCTGAAAAGCCCAGGGACACTGCTCTAAGCCCAGCCAGCAGCAGGCCGGGGTCAAGGCCAAGGAGAGGGGCAGGCACACCTGGTTCTTTCAGAAGGTGAGGTTTTGGATACTTTTTGTTTCAATCATTAAAAATATGAAAAGTCGCCCAGCCGGTGCGGCTCAGTGGTTGAGCGTCAACCTATGAACCAGGTCACGGTTCGATTCCCGGTCAGGGGGCGAGCAGGAGGCAGCCGATCGATGACTCTCGTCACTGATGTTTCTCTCTCTCTCTCTCCCTCTCCCTTCCTCATTCTGAAATCAATAAAGACACTTAAAATTTTTTTAAAAATACAAAAAGTCCCCCCAAATTTTAAAAAAGCTCTCACTCCCTCCTGGACCACCTACCTCTGCTCTCCCGCCCTGGCCTCCCGCCCCCGCGCCCAGCCAGCGCTTGGAATGTCCTGTTCTCCCTCCTTCCGCATTTCCTGTATGGACCTGCCCCCTCTGGCCGGCCTCCAGCTGCGACCTCCCACCTCTGCTCCCCATGACCTTGGCCGGTCCCTCGTGGGGCCCCTGCGAGCAGAGCACAGAGGGCTTGGCAGCATCTGTCTGAGCCCCCAAAACCTGGGAGGTGGCAGGAGGACCCTTCACTGGTGGTGGGTGGATGCAACCGGAAACCCAGGTTCCCAAGCCCCCTTGGCTGGTTGCCACTCAGGGTTCTGTTGCCACAAGAACAGGGCTTTCGGGGGCGTGGGGGGCTTGGATGTGCCCCCACTGCAGCCCCACGTGGGAGATGAACCCGCAGGGGAAGGTGAACAAGTGAACCCGCCCTCGCACAGCTTCCCACTTCCTCCGGGGCCCAGAAAGGCTCAGGCCTTGAACTTGGGTCAGGATGCCCCTGCCTGCCAGCTGGCCAGACGCCTGACGGAAGAGATTGAAAACAGGAAGAAAAAACACCACCCTCACCTTCAAGTTCATCCAGCCCATCGTTTGGTCAGGTGCCAAGTGCAGTTTCCTGACAAAACACTGGAGACGAAGGCGAGATACCCAAGAAGCTCCCTGCGTGCTTCCTGCCCTGGGGTCGCCAGGCCACCGTCTCAGTCCTCCATCCGTGGTCCTCTGGCTGCACAGCACCGACTGGGGATGTTCTAACAACACAGTCCGCAGGGTGGGGACGGCCTCGTTCAGGTGGCAGACCTTGAAGTGTCCTCACGGGCGAGTGGGCTCTGTGGGTCCCTCTCATAAGGGTACTGATCCCATCACGGGGGCCCCACCCTCACGACCTAATCACCTCCCAAAGGCCCACCTCCCAACACCTTCACCTCAGGGGTCAGGATGTAACGTGTGGACTTTGGGGGACACACATGCAGACCTCAGCATGGACTGTAGAGCCAGCCGACTCCTCTGCGTAACAGGCTGAGAGCCATGTTTGAAACAATATTTTCATCATTTTAATTTGACAATTTTCAATTTACAGCTGGAAAACTATAAAAAGCGGTGCAGATGAAGGTCCTCTGTGTAACCAAAGATGATGATGATCCTTAAAACGGAAACTGCGCAATCCACCAAAAACTAGATGGCTCTGAAAGAAGAAAACAGAACACACACCCCGCCCATTATCTGTAAATAAAAAACCCTGCCGTCCACCAGGGGTCGCTCTCGAGCCCGCAGCTGAGACAAGGTGGGAGGAGACCAAAAATGGACTCAATGAGCCCCAGGAAAACAAGCGGCCTCAGAATGCAAAGCTCCTGAAGCCTGCAGGCCAGGCCCCGCCAGGCAGGGGCTTCAGAAAGGCACCCTGAGGGGAGGGGGGTCAGAACCAGATTCACAGACAGCCCCCCAAGTGCCACCCAGTAGAGAGAACTTCCTGCCCTCGTGTGACTGGGTGCCTATGAATTAGGAATCTCATAAGCCCCCCAACCTGCCACCCCACCGGGACATGGGGAGACCCTGTCAGTCTAAACCTAGCTGCTGTGAGAAGAAACCAAAGGGGAAATATAAACGTTTCCCCGAGAGAACACCCCCTGTAGGGCAGGAAGCAGGAGAAACTCACACACTTGGAACTAAATCACATACCCTGTAGGTGGGAGAGGAATTTTTTAAAAACTAAGAGCAGAAATGAACAAAAAATAGGAAAAAATGAAATTAGAATTGATCGTGCTTAGGAAACAAATGGTCGAATGGGCTTTAATGATGCAGAAAAACGCCCTGGAGTCTCCAGGCAAAGGACAGAGCCTCCCCAGCAAGGAGCAGAGGGGAAGCAGCAGGGCCTGCGGGGGCTCAGCCGGCCACCGGGTGTGGGTCAGGACCAAGGGCCTGGAGGCCACCGCAGACCCGAGGGTTTACCGTCTTTGTAGAGCAGGAACGGCACCAGGTGTTAGACCTCGGCGCAGTTCTGGCTAAGAAGGAATTCAGAGCCAAGGCTCCAACTATAAGAAAAAGTTTACTTAGAGGTAGAAGAAGTGAGCGGGAGAAGAAATGGGATCAGGAAACGAGTGCGAGAGAGACCTTGAGAGAGACGAAAGAGGGGGCGAGAGGACCGGTGTGCTAGGGGCAGGGCAGAGCTCGCCCGGGAAGGAAGGGGTGGGGAATGGGGCTGGGGTCCTGGTCCTGAGGGCTTTTACCTGGAGGACCTATTGAATATTCATATTAATCAGCTTTCCAGGTGCGCCCCCTCAGGGTGATTGGTGGGGCCAGGACAGGGGGTCATTAGTCAATGCAGCTGGTCCTGAGGCAGCCAAAGGCCTTGCTCAGCCTGGTTTTGCTGCTTTTCTGGGCCTGGAGCTGAAACACAGCTGAGGCCTAGATGTCTTCTCCAGGGGTTAATGCTTAAGGGAGTGGCCGTGCAAGGACCTAAAGTTGTGCCCGAGGCTCTGAGCCCTGGTGACCCTCTGCACCCTCCCACCAAACATCCCAGCAGAGGAGCCAGCTTTCTGCGAGGCAGGTTCCTTGCACTTGCTGCAAGCTCTGGCCACTCGGATCTGTGGGCTGTCCCCTCAGTTCCTGAACACCTGACTGGTCAGGATTCAGCCTCCAGGTGTCTCTCTGTGCCTCTTTTGTGATTTGGTCCAAGGTTTGTTAAGGCGAGGACCCTACCCTCGGGTGGTCCTTACCCTGGGGGGGCCCTCTGGCTGGTCTGGTGCTCCCTGCCCCCAGCCCTGGTGATTTCAAGCACCTCCCTCCTGCCTCAACCATGAGCCTCGGGTCACCGTCCTGACAAAGTGTGTGACCCGAGCAGTCACCGCCCAGCAGTCCCAGCTCCGTGGTTAGAACCAAAGGGGGTGATAGTACCTGTTATAGTAACAAAGAGCATGGTGGGGACCCAGGCCCTGGGCATGGACAGGTCCACCATGCAAGGTGCTGGGGCTAGGAAACAGTGTCCACGGGATTCGAGTTGGGGCAATAGGGAGCCACAGCAGAATGTAGGCACCTGAATCAGGACCTCTGCTCAGGAGACCCAGTCTGGGGATAGCCTCGGTCTCGAGGGAGCAGGACAAGACTTAGCAGGGAGTGACCATGGGAAGCCTGACCAGGGGCTCTACGCAGGGCAGGGCTGGGTGGGACCCTTGAGCAGGAGAAAGGGAGAGAGCAGGGAGCTGTCATCCCGGGTCTGGGCCACGTGGCCTGACTCAGCCTCTTCGGGCAGAGGTCCAGCGGGGGTGGCATCCGTCTCAGTTCACATTTGGCACCGATAGTATCATTTTTAATGCAGTCACGGAAAATATACCCCGCCACCCCGACCTGTCACCGCTGGCCCCCCAGGAAAGACTCAGGCCAGCGGGTGTGGTAATGGGATTTATTTGGAGCTGGTACTGTTGGCCCTGGGCAGGGTGGGGGCTCCCAAATTCTTGGCCTGGGGACAGGGCTCCTGGATCAGCTCCTGGGACACAGAAGGGAGGGGGTCAGGGCTGCCCACTCCGAAGGCCCTGGGGGCAGCGGTCAGGGTCATAGTCGGCACTAGGCGTCCCGGCTGCCGTGCGGCTTTGAGCAAAGCACAGCCCAGTTTCTCTACCTGCAAAGCAGGTAACAGTCCCCACCTCTCGGGCTGTGTTGAGACAGAGGGTTTGACAGGTGATGGGTTGGCATGTGTGGGATGTGGGGGCCTGAGACGGTGACCACAGGGCTCCACTCANCCGCCAACCAGCAGGGACCCAAAGGCACCCACCTGCTGGCCTTTGGCTCTTTAACCACAGAATTGCCCCCAGGCCTGGACGGAGGCTCCTCTTACAGGAGAGCTGTGCAGAAGGCCTGACACACCTGTCCGAGTGCACCCAGCAGGCGGGCGGCTGTGTGACCCCAGCGGCTGACACTGCCCTTGACCCCCACCCCCACCTCAAGTGCTATCCTGGCCCTCACCCAGCAGGCACATGACAGGGAGAGAGGTGGGGGTTTTCCAGCACACGGCAGACTGTGCAAATCACGAGGGGGGAGACAGAGACAGAGAGAAATAGAGACAGAGAAGGACAGAGAGACAGTGGGGGGGGGGGGGAAAAGCTGAATATAAGTGCAAAAGTGACCCGTGGGGGTCACAGCTCTAAGGGGAGCTGAGTGGTGGGACCCCCCAGATGCAGCGGCCAGTCTGATCTGCTGGCCCTCAATGCACATGCCTTCCTCTGGGCAGAGGCACCAGGGCCAGGCCCCTGAGCCTGGACATGGGGAGCGGCTGGCCCCAGGCTGGATGGAGGAGTGCCAGCCACCCCGGTTGCCCCCAGCCGGACATCCTGCTGTGTGTTTGCCCTCCCAGGCAGTTCCCAAAGTCTTAGTAACTTGATCCTAAAACTTGTGCTTTTGAGTCAAATCTGAAGAGAGAATGGAGCCCACTCAGCTGCCCCCGTTGTCCACCTGGGCTCCGGAGGTCTGCTCTGTCCCTCAAGCAGGAGCTGGGATTCTGATGTCCGGGGCCACCCTGCTCACAGCTGGCCTCCCAGGACTCACTCACCAGAGTGACCATGGTCAGGGGACGTTCCAGAGGCCCCTGCCAGGCCCTGGAGGAAGCCCCAGCGTGCCAGCGACAAGCCAGGCCCAAACATCATTTTACGTTCTGAAACCGGCAGAGTCTGGAAGGCTCTCCCATCCTCCCCACTGTCCCCGGCTCCCTTCCTCTTATCCGTCGGGGACCCTCTGCCCAGCTGCCACTCAGCCACCAGCCTGCTCTGCTGTTGGCTCAGGAGGTGGCCTTGGGCTCTAGGGAGCAGGAGGAGACTTAGCAGGGAGGGTGGCTGTGGGAAACGCGACCCAGGGGCTCCGAGCCGGGCAGGGCTGGGCGGGACCCTTGAGCAGGAGAAAGGGAGAGAGGGGGAGCCATCATCCCAAGTCAGCCACGTGGCCTGACTCAGCCGCCTCAGGCAGAGGTCCAGCAGGGGTGGCATCCCCACAGTTCACATTCAGCAGCGAGGGTGTTATTTTAGGGCAGTCACAGAAAGCACACCCCACCCCCCCCACCTGTCACCCCTGGCCCCCCAGGAAAACTCGGGGCAGCAGGTGTGGTAATGGGGTTTATTTGGAGCTGGTGCTGTTGGCCCCTGGGCAGGAGCAGGCAGGGCAGGTCGGGGGCTCCCAGCTTCCTGGCCGGGGACAGGGCTCCTAGATCAGCTCCTGGGACACAGAAGGGAGGGGGTCAGGGCTGCCCACTCCAAAGGCCCTGGGGGCAGCGGTCAGGGCCACGGTCAGGACTGGGTGTCCCGGCTGCCGTGTGGCTTTGAGCAAAGCACAGCCCAGTTTCTCTACCTGCAAAGCAGGTGACCGTCCCCACCTCTCGGGCTGTGTTGAGACAGAGGGTTTGACAGGAGATGGGTTGGCATGTGTGGGATGTGGGGGCCTGAGACGGTGCCCCCAGGGCCTCACTCCGGTGGGACATGAGCGGGCAGAGCCACCAGCAGCCCCTCACACCCTGCTAGATGGGAAGGTGGGACCAGGGGACAGCCTCCCCACCCAGCCCTGCCCCTGCACCCCACCCTCCAGGGTGCCCCCCAGCATCCTGTTTTCACCACCCTGGAGGCCCAGGATCTAGAGAAGCCGGGGCTCCCGTCAGGCCGGGGTCTCAGCGCGGGCTCAGAGCAGACGGGGCGAAGCTCACCTCCTTCAGGAGCTTGGCGCACCCCCCTGCAGGACAGGGGCAGTGTGAGGCGCTGCGGGATGGATGCCCAGACCCCACCCGCTGGCACGGAGCGGACAGTCGAAAGCCTTCACCCTCAGGCAGCCCTCGCGGCTCAGCCTGCTGTCCAAACTGGCTCTGACTGCTTCAGGGAGAACCCGCCACCCTCACAGCCCAGGCCCCTCCTTGCACGTGCGGTGGGAAGGAGAGGCAGACACGGCCCGTCAGGGAGGTGGGGCGAGGGAACAGCAGCTCACCAGCACCGGCTGCAGCAAGTCCACGCAGGTCCCTGTGGACAAAAGGAAAGGTGAGAGGGGAGGAAGGTGCTGGGCCCTGCGCCGGTCGGGAGCCTGGCCCAGGCCCCAGCACTCACTGTCCCAGGTGAACAGGTGCACTTCTCCTGCCGAGAGCCCGTAGTTCAGAGCCACCTGGCGGAACTTTTTCAAGGCCTCGCTGTACTGTTCCAGGTCGCGGACTGGGAAAGATGAAATGCCGACTGGCTAAGGGGGCACGGGATGGGGGCCACAGCCCCCTCCTGTCCCCTTCCCTGCCCCCTGTCAGAGCCAAGGTCCCCACGGTGGGCCTGAGCCGGGCACAGAGGGATCAGCAGGCCCGCAGCCCTGGGTCCCAGCCTGGGCTTACCATAGAGCTTCAGGACCCTGAGGCTCCTCCCTGCTTGGTGGAACATGAAGTTCATGATGGCGTAGCTGGTGTAATCCGTGACCAACACCCACATGTCTTTGTCTCCTGGGGGACAAGCCAAACAGAGCTCCCAGGCTTGGGCAGGGCCCCACTCTGTCCTCACTGCCTCCCACAGGCCATGCCCCCCAAGAGCTTGCCCCAGCTCATGCACACACACACGCACACACACACGTGTGTACACACAGACACATACACACACACAGAGCACTGGGGTGGGCCTTCTGGGTTTCCTGAAGGGACCTCCCTGCGGGTGGTGGACAGAGGGGACCCTGCTGACCAGGACAGAAAGACACCTAGTTAGACATTTTCCCTGAGTTTCAGAGAGAAGGGTACCAGCCCCCACAGACATCAGGGCTCAGGCCACAAGTTGGGGCTGGGAAAGTGGCAGAGGGGCCCCCAGGCAGGCCTGGCACTGAGCTACACGCAGAGGACTCTGGCCCAGGGTGACCAGGAGCACCCCACTGAGGCCACAAGGAGCACCCCATAGGAGGGCACAAGGTAGTCCCCCTCCCTGGCCTTCAGTGGTCAGTTTGGGCTGAGCAGGAGCCGTGAGGGGCAGGACAAAGGGCCCCACTGGACCTGGCCAGCTGGGAGGGTGTGGCTGGAGGCCCCCGTCCAGAACTCCGCGGAGCGGAGCGGAGTGGGCACCAGGAAGCAGGCCTTGGGCAGCTCCTTACCGAACTCTCTGGAAAGCTTGAACTTCCCCGGGCCGTTCCCCTTGGTGGCCAGCCTCTTGTCCTTCACACAGCCGGCCTCACTGGGGAGCACAGACCCCTGCAGCCAGCTGCCCCCGCCACCAGGCCCACCACCCTGGACAAGGGGCAGCCCTGAGATCACCCAGAGCCCCCAGACAGCAGGGCCCTTACCTGGCCCCGTGTCCACCTGGCCAGAAGGAAACCACCCTCTAGGGATAGACCGATCCTGCCTCCCCCGACCCTCACAGCGTCCAAGCCCTGGGCGTGCGAGCCAGCGGACAGCGTGAGCCAGCAGACGGTCAGAGGCAGTGGTCAGCCTGAGCCCACGGAGGGCCCAGGCTCACCCAGCACAGCAGCCAGGGTGGGTGCCCGGGCCAGGCTTGATCGGGGGCCCTGACTCCTGGGGAGGAGGGGTCCCAGGGGAAGGGCTGGGGGCCCTTCATGAGGTCACTTCATGAACCATCTTAGGAGAGAGTGAGGGCCCCCCAGGACGATGGCTCTGCTCTGCAGGCCCCTCTACTAGCCCTGCCCTGTCCTCCGCACCTCACTCACCCTTCATACGAGGTGGTCAGGACCAGGTTGCCCTCCTTCCGCTCCACCAGCACAGCCCCCAGCTTCCTTATCTTTGGGGGGGCATCCTGCTCCTTGGTAGCAAAGGCAATCTCATACCAGAAGCCTGAAAACTGGGGGTACAGGGAGCTGCTGCAGGCACACACGCCCAGGATGGGGACCGCCACCTCCCCACCACATGGGACAGCAGTCTGGGAAGTTCTAGGCCACCCCACACTGTGGCGCCGGCAGGGCTCCAGAGCAAGCAGCCCTGGAGGACTCCCCAGAACATCCGGGGCAGCAGGTCCCCTATGGCGAGCTCCCTGAGCTCTCTACCTTGGCAAAGTTAAAGTCCTTCACCACCGAGGCCGGCTGGCCCACCGCTAGCGCCACACACAGTCCCAGCAGGGCTGTGAGCACTGTGCCCTTCATGTCCAGGCGGGTGGGCTGCTGGGACCGGCTCCCTAGCGTGCAGGAGCCACGGCCCTCGGGGGCCAGGCCCCCGCTTAATATCCTTTTCAGTGGCCCTCAGGGCAGCAGCAGGCCGGCTTCATTAAGCAGGTGAGCAGCACACGGCAGACCTGCCAGCAGCCGCCCACCCACCGGGCCTGAGGGGGAGCCTCCCCGCTGGGCAAGGGGCATTGCTGTCAGCTACCACATAGGAAATGCCCAGCTGGGCCCGGCACCCCTCCCCCACGACGGTCAACCTGGGGCTCTGAGACTGTGCATCCTGTGGCCGGAAGGCAGTACCAGGCTCTGGGGCAAGACCACAGCACAGGACAGGCATGACCTGTGGGGACAGCGTGACTCTGGGAAAGTATGTCCCCAGGAAAGCATGTCGGGAGTGTGCGCCGAGCTGGTCACCACGTCAGGACCCACCGCTGCCCAGAACGCTCCACACAGGGGGCCCTCAGCTTCCTGTCTCCCCTCGGACCTCAGACACGGGCACAGGTACCCAAGGCCTGACAGCTGGGCAGGCTCAGGGCCTGACCAAGGACACAGTGCCCACGGGATGCTGACTGCACAGCCCGGCCCCACGCTGCAGGCAGTGAGGAGCGGCCGGGACGGCCTGGCCCCTGCAGCTCTGCTGGCTGGCCTGCTGAGCCCTTCAAGACCCCACAGCCATCACCAGATGACCAATGAGCAGCATCCCGCCAACCAGCAGGGACCCAAAGGCACCCACCTGCTGGCCTTTGGCTCTTTAACCACAGAATTGCCCCCAGGCCTGGACGGAGGCTCCTCTTACAGGAGAGCTGTGCAGAGGGCCTGACACACCTGTCCGAGTGCACCCAGCAGGCGGGCGGCTGTGTGACCCCAGCGGCTGACACTGCCCTTGACCCCCACCCCCACCTCAAGTGCTATCCTGGCCCTCACCCAGCAGGCACATGACAGGGAGAGAGGTGGGGGTTTTCCAGCACACGGCAGACTGTGCAAATCACGAGGGGGGAGACAGAGACAGAGAGAAATAGAGACAGAGAAGGACAGAGAGACAGTGGGGGGGGGGGGGAAAAGCTGAATATAAGTGCAAAAGTGACCCGTGGGGGTCACAGCTCTAAGGGGAGCTGAGTGGTGGGACCCCCCAGATGCAGCGGCCAGTCTGATCTGCTGGCCCTCAATGCACATGCCTTCCTCTGGGCAGAGGCACCAGGGCCAGGCCCCTGAGCCTGGACATGGGGAGCGGCTGGCCCCAGGCTGGATGGAGGAGTGCCAGCCACCCCGGTTGCCCCCAGCCGGACATCCTGCTGTGTGTTTGCCCTCCCAGGCAGTTCCCAAAGTCTTAGTAACTTGATCCTAAAACTTGTGCTTTTGAGTCAAATCTGAAGAGAGAATGGAGCCCACTCAGCTGCCCCCGTTGTCCACCTGGGCTCCGGAGGTCTGCTCTGTCCCTCAAGCAGGAGCTGGGATTCTGATGTCCGGGGCCACCCTGCTCACAGCTGGCCTCCCAGGACTCACTCACCAGAGTGACCATGGTCAGGGGACGTTCCAGAGGCCCCTGCCAGGCCCTGGAGGAAGCCCCAGCGTGCCAGCGACAAGCCAGGCCCAAACATCATTTTACGTTCTGAAACCGGCAGAGTCTGGAAGGCTCTCCCATCCTCCCCACTGTCCCCGGCTCCCTTCCTCTCATCCGTCGGGGACCCTCTGCCCAGCTGCCACTCAGCCACCAGCCTGCTCTGCTGTTGGCTCAGGAGGTGGCCTTGGGCTCTAGGGAGCAGGAGGAGACTTAGCAGGGAGGGTGGCTGTGGGAAACGCGACCCAGGGGCTCCGAGCCGGGCAGGGCTGGGCGGGACCCTTGAGCAGGAGAAAGGGAGAGAGGGGGAGCCATCATCCCAAGTCAGCCACGTGGCCTGACTCAGCCGCCTCAGGCAGAGGTCCAGCAGGGGTGGCATCCCCACAGTTCACATTCAGCAGCGAGGGTGTTATTTTAGGGCAGTCACAGAAAGCACACCCCACCCCCCCCACCTGTCACCCCTGGCCCCCCAGGAAAACTCGGGGCAGCAGGTGTGGTAATGGGGTTTATTTGGAGCTGGTGCTGTTGGCCCCTGGGCAGGAGCAGGCAGGGCAGGTCGGGGGCTCCCAGCTTCCTGGCCGGGGACAGGGCTCCTAGATCAGCTCCTGGGACACAGAAGGGAGGGGGTCAGGGCTGCCCACTCCAAAGGCCCTGGGGGCAGCGGTCAGGGCCACGGTCAGGACTGGGTGTCCCGGCTGCCGTGTGGCTTTGAGCAAAGCACAGCCCAGTTTCTCTACCTGCAAAGCAGGTGACCGTCCCCACCTCTCGGGCTGTGTTGAGACAGAGGGTTTGACAGGAGATGGGTTGGCATGTGTGGGATGTGGGGGCCTGAGACGGTGCCCCCAGGGCCTCACTCCGGTGGGACATGAGCGGGCAGAGCCACCAGCAGCCCCTCACACCCTGCTAGATGGGAAGGTGGGACCAGGGGACAGCCTCCCCACCCAGCCCTGCCCCTGCACCCCACCCTCCAGGGTGCCCCCCAGCATCCTGTTTTCACCACCCTGGAGGCCCAGGATCTAAAGGAGCCGGGGACTCAGCGGGGGCTCAGCGCAGACGGGGCAAAGGCTCACCTGCTTCAGGAGCTTGGCGCACCCCCCTGCAGGACGGGGGCAGTGTGAGGCGCTGCGGGATGGGCACCGGGACCCCACCCCCTGCGCAGTTCCCAGCCTGTCACCGGTCCCAAAGGCCTGGGGCTCACCATGCCGGGCCACCAGGTAAAGCCCGGTGTCCGCCGTCAGCTCCCGGAACCTCCAGAAGCCCGGTGCGAACTCATCCTCCAGGCTGCGAGCTGTGGGGGCAGCGGGGGCTGAGCGGGGGCCCAGCGGGACGGCCCCAGGGAAAGCCGCCGCCCCCGCGAGCTTACTGAAGTACTTGAGCACGTGGAAGTCCTTGCCCTGCCAGTGGAGGGACAGCCTCAGGATGGCGTAACGCTCGTAGTCCGTGTCAATCACGTGGATTTCTCTGTGGCCTGGGCAGCGAGCAGAAGGGGCAACACTGTGCAGAGCTGCACCCCTTGGGTCAGGCTCCAACCTCTGCCTCCCACCGCCCACCCGCCAGGGGAGGGGAATGAAGACTAGAGTAGCCCTTGAAGGATGCCGGGTTTACCGGTGAGAGAATGGGAGAGCCTGGGGCACGTGGAGGGAGGAACGCGGGGAACAGTGTGGGGAACAGCATAGGGAATAGCAATGTCAAGTGTCGCCAGTGTGCAGGGCCAGGGGGTTGTAACTGTAGCAACAGGGCAACGTTCTTACCAGGAAAAACAAATCTCCCCGAAACGTCCATTTCTGAGCCCACTATGTTTTCTGTCTCACAACTTCCTGAGCTGAAATGCAGCAAAGTGCTCATTAGGAAAAAGCCAGGCTGCATTCCTCCTGCCGGGCACACTCAGGGGCCATGGGACGGGGGGGTCTTCAGGAAGGACTGCAACAGGGCAAGGGGGGCAGAGGTGCAGGGCAGGGCCCCACCAGCCTCGTCCCCGTGGCTCTGTGACCTCCAGAGAGCCACCTGCCCTTAAGCCCATTTTCCTTCCTTTATAAATTGACGTGACTTAATCAGAACTCTATGATTATATTTGACAGATGCACCGCTAGGAGCCTGGGGGCCTGGTCTCAGGAGGCATGGGGTCAAGGTCTTGGGCAGTGGACACAGGGAGGGCTGGCCCACCCCAGGCACCTGGCCACACACCTGCTCCTGCCCGAGCTCTGGGGAGCCGGCCCCTTACCTGTTATAAGCAGCCTTCACGGTCAGCTCGTCCCCATTCAGGGTCAGGAACAAGGCCTCCAGCCTCTTCGGGGTCTTCAGCAACAGGTTTTGGTTGGAAGCCACACCGACTTCCCGCCAGAATCCTGCAATCTAGACAGAGGAGACAGCCAAGCCTGTCTAGGGCAGCGGGCGGAGGTCCCCGTCTTTGGGTTCCGGGGGGCGGACCCCACCAGGACCCCCCGGGTAGGGAACTGGCCTGTTCTGAAAAGTCAGCAGACAGCCACAAGGCTCAGCGGCAAAGCAGCAGGTGGTCACTCTTCCGAGGGGTCCCTTCTGGCATGGACAGCCTTGCCCACAGGGTGAGCCCCTCCCCACCCAGACCTGTCTGCAGTTCCCGGACTACTGTTTCTGCTCCTGTCCTTGGGAGGGCCACCAGGGGGCAGTGGTGGTTAGAGCCGGAGAGAGACGGTCTGGAGAGGGGTTGACCGACTGTGAAAACCACCAGGGAGCAAGTGGCTCCATGGGGCCGTTGGCAGCCAGCAGCCCTGTCCCCATGGAAGAGGCACAGTTCTGCCCACCTCACGAGGAGCTCCTGCCTTCGAAATCCACCCAGAGCCCAGAGCTTCCATCTGAAACTCTTGAAAGCTGATTTTTTTTGCAACAGAAAAGAATTTGTGTCCCCAGCGTCGTCTGTCATCTCCAAGCCTGCTGACGGTCTCCTGGCCTCACAGCCAAAACAGACAAAGCAAAGAAAGAGCCCAGGCACAGAAGGATCTAGGTGGGAACCAAAGCCCCAGCCACCCTCCCCACCAGGACAGGCCTCCCCTGGTTCCCACAGTGTGCAGGGCCAGAGGGTGTAGGACCCACCGACCTGGGAGCAAGAGGTGGCCACAGTGAGCCCTGGACCCTGGAGACCCCGGAGGACCAGCAGCCTGGCTGAAGACACAGGCTTGCCCACAGGAGACCCTCAGGAAGGGCTCTGCCCCTGCCTGACCCTGGGTGCCGCCTCCCAACGAGAAGAGAAAGCAGGCTGAGCTCAGACTCCTAGCCACCTGCCCATGTGGGTCGGACCCAGGTGGGTGCTGGGCCCCTGATTGGGGTAGCTTCTCTGGTATCAGCTCGGGGTTGGAGGGACGAGGGAGTAACTGGACCCCTCCGCACCCAACCTGCCCAAGACAAGGAAGGAAAGCCACCTTCTGCAGGTCCAGGCCCTGCACAGCCGTCTCCACCTGCACCATGACAATGCCCAGGACGGTGCTCAGCAACCTGGCCTCCATCGCTGGTCAGCGCTCACCACGCCTCTGCCCCCAGCACCTGGGCTTATATCCGAGGGACAGTCAGTGTGATGCAATCACCAGGAACGTCATCAGGCAAACTTGGCCGCGACTGCTCAGAGAAACTTGCTTTTTCTACAGAGAACCGCCCAGGCCCAGTGATGCCCACAGCCACGGAGGTGGCACCGGCACCCACCCCAGGGGCCTGAGAAAGTCCCCATCCCTGCCAGGGCAGCCTAGGACCCCATCTCCAACCCACACAGGACTGATGGGATGGATGCACCACATCAGGGTCCACGGGCTCAGAGCACCCTGCATGTTCCCGGGGCACCTCCCCATGGACACAGGGGTTCCAGGATCTTTCTGACGAGTCTTAGGACAAACGCTCCCAGGGCCAGCACAGTGCCTCCCAAGAGCTGAGCGGGGTCCTGCCCTCCACGTGCTGGAAATGAGTGAGGGTTGCCTCTGCCTGGGAGGTCTCCACAGGGGATATTTCCTGCAAAGGGAGCCCCTCTGAGGCCTAGAGAGGGAGAGAGGCCCACGGGAGACAGAGGTGGGGTGAAGCTGGCTTGATGGACCCCTGCAGGTACCAGGGAACAGACAACTGCTTTTCTCCTTCCTGTGCCTCGTGTCCTCTCCACGGTGATAATATCCAGCCCACCCCATGCCAGGCCCATGCACAGCATCCTACCCAACTCACTCAGGCCCACCGTGTGCAGCGAGGTGGGACCCCAGCCCAGAAGGCTGCCTCAGAGAGGCCCTGTTCTGCTCAAACTCCCAGGCCAGTGAGCCCACAGCTGGGACCTGAACTGGGCTGTGACCACCCCCACCCACCTTTTCCCCACCAGTGCCCCGGGCCTCCTCCCACCACCGATGCCCTTAGTCTCAGACCCAGGACCAAACAACAAGCATGTCAGGCTGAAGACGGACTCAGGCTCCCCGGACTCCAGTCCTGCCCCTTCCAGCCATGGGACCCAGCTACTCTGCCTCAGTTTCCCTATCTGTAGTGATGACGAAGCAGAAAGGCAGGCACCATGTGGCCAAGGAGGGTCTGAGGGTGCCCAAAGCGACTCCTGCCCAGATTGACATCCCTGGCCCTTGGCGGCTGGGGGTCAGTCTTCCCACCTCTGGGCTGGGGAAGCCCCCCTGGAAGAGCTCCCGGCTCAGCAGAGGTCCTGCACCCAGGGGACTTGCCACCCTGCCTCCCAGGTGTGGCACTGCCTCCGACGAAGGCTGTCAGGTTGGGGCTCAAGCAAGGACAGAGTGGCCCCGAGCTGGCTGCCACACTGGAGACCAAAGGGGACCACACGAAGGTCAGGAACAGTGGGGGTGAGAAGACTGAGGACTAGCTGACCCCGGCCCCAGGCTGACCCTCGAACCGGGCTGACCCCAGCCCTGGGGTAATAAGCCAGGGCCCCCTGGGATGGGCTTGACCAGGCAGCAGAGGAAAGACAGGAAGTGTGGGGACACCCGCTGTCTCTGGGTGACAAAAGGCAGGATGAGACAGCTGCCCTCGGGGCCAACGGCTTCCGGCTCCGGCCCTGCAAGGGCTGCAGGGCTCGGCGAGCACTGAAGCGGGACCTCCTGCGCCTTCCTGCCCCACCCCACACCTGGCCCTTTGAAGTGTGTGTGCCGGACACGACCTGGACATTCAGAGCTCCCTGGGGAGGCCACCAGGCGTGGTGTCAGGGAGGAGAATGGTGGTGGCATGGCTCTGGGGAGGGCTCCCCTGCCCCAACGTCTCATCGAGGGTGAGAAGAGAGCCCAGGCCCTGGTGCCTGCCCACTGAGCCTGAACCCCAGTTTGGCCCCTTGCTGGGCAGTTAGCTGACCTCTGTGTGCCTCAGTTTCCAGACCTGCAAAACAAGGAACACATCGGGCTTATTGCACGTGTCCAGCGGACCACCGTGGGCCAGGCTGGCAGGCGAGGGCTCAGAGTGCACCGGCCACCGCCGGGACCCATTTCCAGGCCTCACCGAAGTTTACATATGTGCCCAAGGTCTGGGTGACACCAGCAGTGGGAAGGAAACCCCAAAGCTCTGCCTCCAGCTCCTGTAGTGGGGTCCCAGCAGCAGGGCTGGTCTTCCCAGGGTGCCTCAGTTTCCCACACGTGCTATGAACCCATGGGGGTCAAGCCAGTGGGTGATAGATGGTGCCTGAGGGTACAGCCCCCCACAGGTGCCAAGCTTGACTGGATTCTCCTGCCTCTCAGCCAGGGAGGAAAAAAGCCCCAGGATGGCAGTAAACACAACAGAGCCCACAAATCAGCACCTAAGAGGTGGTCCACATGAGACGCCTTACCCCAAAAGCTGCTTTTTCTTTTTAAAATAATCTTGGGGGTGGAGCACAGAGCTTGAAGACAGGGCTCACCCCCTCTACAGATAGAACCTTCTGGAGTGGCCTGATTTGGCTCCATTTCCTACCCCCTCTCCTCCTACCCAGTGACGTTTCTGAAACAATCACAGGTGTGATGGGAGGCAGGGTAGAATGCCGGGGAGCGTCAGCTAGACCCGCGGAGAGTTAAAACAGCCCAAATGTCCCCAGCACCACTGGGTTAGTAGCCAGGAGAGCCAGGGACACGGGGAACACTGGCTGCAGGACCACGAGGAAGCCCTGCCATGCAAACACCATCATGGCCAGGAGAGGCCCAAGGCCCCCTCCTGATGCTGCCAACTGTCATGTCATATCCATTATTTACTGTTTAATTTAGCTTCCCAAATTCTTCGCCATGAACTTGGGTAAGGGGCCCGATGGTTCCCTGGTGTCTATGTTAGGGTTTGGGCCAGTGATGCTGGCTGTGAAGGATTTCCCAACTGAGAGAAGAGATGCAGAAAGAAAGTTTATTATGCTTTCCCAGAAATGGAAAGGGCCAGTGCATTGTAATCAATACAAGGGCAAGAAACAAAGGAGCCAGCCTGCTTTTAAGCAGGTAGGTTGCTAGGCGACGAGGAAGGGAGGGGTTTGGGTTGTCTTGAAGTTGAGCAGATACCAGGGTGGTTGTCTTGAAAAGTTGTACTTTGTTTGCTTTCCAGGAGGCAGTCTGGCAGATGTTGCAGGGAGGCATCTTATCAGTATTTTCCCAGGCCTGTAAAACATGCTCAGAGCAAAAGTTATGAGTTCAGAGAAGGCTTGTTTGAAGGGGAGGGGGGAGGGAACTTTCCAGACTCCTTGGTGGGAATTATCCCTGAGCCTTGAAAACAGCAGGAGGAGGGGGTGCAACAATGTATTGAGAGTTGTGAAAACAGCAGGAGGAGGGGACGCAACAATGTAGCCGTGAGAGAAGCTTCTCTTTGCAGTTTGAACAGAGGGGCTGTTTGTTTGTTTTTAAATGTATCTTTATTGATTTCAGAGAGAGAGAGAGAGAGGAACATCAATGATGAGAGAGTCACTGATCGGCTACAGCCCAAAACCAGGGCATGTGCCCTGATGAGGAATCGAACCCCGATTTGCTGGATCCTAGGTCAATGCTCAACCGCTGAGCCACGCCCGGCTGGGCAAGGGGCTGTTCGAATCAGAGGAGCCAACAATCTTGGGATTTACTTACCAGGTGCTTCTCATAAACTGTGGATGGCCACAGCAAAGAAAAAGAAAGGCCTTTTCTGTCATCACAGTCTACTTTGGGGGGAGGTGTCCCCAAAAGCCCACCTGCCTGTGTGTCCCAAGGGCTCCCGGGGATCCAGCCCCGTGATGGCAGTGAACGAGGGTCCCTTGTGGGATCCCTACCCAGGCCATCCCGAGGCAGCGACCCATGCCCCAGGGGTGAGCTGGGGCAAATGGGGACACAGAGTGCACTGGGTTGGATAGTGTCCCCCCAACATTCAAGTCCACCAGGAACTCTGAATGTGAACTTTTTTGGAAATACGGTCTTTCAGATATAATTAGTTAAGGGTCTCAAAATGAGATCATCCTGGATTTAGGGTGGGCCCTACATTCAATGACGGGTGTCCTTATAAGAAGAGGGAAGTTTGCCCGGCCGGACGTGGCTCAGCGGTTGAGCGTCAACCTAGGATCCAAGAGATTGGGGTTTGATTCCTGGTCAGGGCACATGCCCGGGTTGCGGGCTCAATCCCCAGTCAGGGGTGTGCAGAAGGCAGCCGATCAATTACTCTCATCATTGATGTTTCCCTCTCTCTCTCTCTCCTTTCCTCTCTCTGAAATCAATAAAGATATATTAAAAAAAAAAAAAAGAAGAGGGAAGTTTGGACACAGACACACAGAGGGAAGATGGCCATGTGACAATGGACTCAGAGGTGGGAATGACGTGTCTACAAGCCAAGGGATGCCAGGACTGCCGGCACCACAGGAGCTGGGAGAGGCAGGGGTTCTCCTCCAGAGCCCCAGGGAGGAACCCGCCCTGCCCACACCTTGATTTTAGACTGTGAGAGGGTAACTGTCTCTTGTTTTAAGCTATCCAGATTGTGGTAATTTGTTATGGCAGACTTAGGAAATCAGTGGAGGCTTCCTGGAAGAGGTGATGTGGAAGCTGAGACCTGAAGCACAGAGGTCAGGCAGGACAATGCAGAGTGGACTTGGTGGGGAGGGGAGTCTTTGGTGAGAGAGCAGGAGGCCTGGTGAGGAGAGAGGGCAGGCCACCAGGCCCTGCAGGACAGAAAGGAGGCATTACCCTGGACTCCACCTGGGAAGGGTCGAGGTGAGCCTCCGGGGGTGTCAGGGTGCCTCCTTGCCCCCTGAGGAGCATGCATCTGTGGGAGGGAAGACAGTCCGTGAGAGGCTGAGCTGGCAGACACCGCCCACTGCTTTTTGCAGCCTCCAGCCCCTGGGTGTTGTGGGGATGGGTACAGCCACCCCCACAGGAGGGTGGAGCTGAAAGACTCTCCCTCCCGAGCTCCCCCAAATTCTCTGGCTTGGGGTGTGTGTGGGGAGAAGGGGGCTGTGGGCAGGAGTGGCTGGAGCTGCTGAATCAGGAAGGAGGGCTGAAGACAGGGATGGGCGGGGATGGGCCGGGCGGGGCCTGGCAGGGGTACCTGACTTCGGCAGCATGACCATCATGTCATCCGGGAGCCCCACTGTGGGGTAGAACAACCTGAAGGCATTCAGGGCCTGGGGACTCGCTTCCGGGGTCCGGCCTGGGACAAAGCAGGGCCCCTGTGAACCCCATGGCTCACAGAGGTGAGGGGGAAGGAGAGAGGGTGTCTCCTGGCCTCACTTCCTTGAGGGCTGACAGCAGGTCCGCCACCCAAGCTCGGGCAGGTTGGGCACGAAAGTGCCCCCTCGCTGAGGGGCTGGTGGGGACTGGAATTGGCCCTTGTGTGAATTCCTAATTCACACAAGGGCGTCCAGGAGGTTGGGGACCCAGATGTTCTCCCTGGCCATGCTCCCCTGAGCCTCCCCCCCCCCATAGGCATCTTTTCCTACAGCTCCCAAGGCCGCCCTCCCACCCTCACCCCAGCCTCTCCACCTTGGGGAGCTCCACTCTGCCGATACCCCAGATATTAAAGCGGAACAGGATCTCAGCCCTGGTTCCGAGTCTCAGGCAGCCGGGAAGATGGGTCCCCGCCTTCAGTGCCCGGCCCTCAGAGGCCCCTCCAGTCAACCCCTACCCATCCAAAGCGCTGTGGGGTCCCCCCCCCGCCCCTACCTCACACCCGCATGACCCTTGCCGGGCCCAGACGTGGAAGTGAGACAAGAAGGGTAAAGCAGGGTCTGGGGCAGGTACTGAAGGGGTGGGATGGGGGCGGGGCCTCACTGTAGAGCTGCACCATGGTGCTGAGCGCCCCCTGCAGCTCCTTGTAGATGTAGACCACGGCGAAGGAGCTGTAGTCCGTGTCCACGACGCGCAGGTCCAGGTAGCCCAAAGCTGCGGAGGAGGAGAGCTGCAGGGGCCCGGACCGACCCCACCCACACTGGCCTCTGCTTCCAGTGGCCGTGGGGGAGGGACAGGAGATGGCAATGGAGAGGGAGTCCTGAGTTTAAGGGGAGTCCTATGAAGAATCGGCGTCAGGTGCCTCTGAAGGCGATGGGGCAGGACCTACCTGGGACTCTGAAGTGTCCCTCGGAGCCCACCTTCAGGTACTCGGCATCCACCTGGTTACAGCCATCAGCCCTGGGGGTGCACAGCCCACTCACTCTCCGAAGCTGCCCAGGCTCACCCCGCCCCTCCAGCTGCACCAGGCCCCACCGGGCTCACCGAGGGAACTCCATGTGGACGCTGAGGTTGCCCCCCGCCATGGCTGTGATGGCACTGGTGGACATTAGCAGGTGGTCCTTCTTGCTCTGGAAGACCTTGCAGTCGGAGGCCATGGAGACCACGTACCAGAGGCCTGAGAACTGCCAAGTAGCTCACTGAACAGCAGGCTCGGGGACCCAGGAGCACAAGGACGACAACCCAGAACCAGGACTCATCTGAAGCCACACAGCCCTGGTCTCTGGAGTGTCCACCTCTTGGGTCTGAGACTGGGGTGGACGAGAGCCCTGTTCTGCACTTACCTGGGGCAGGTCACATCACCACCGTGAGCCTCAGTACCCCCCTGTGAAATGGGTCAGTGACCACCCCCCACACAGGGTGGTTTCAGGGTTATATAAAGAGCTAGTCTAATGGGGTCAAGGCCCAGCAGGTGGAGACGCTGTTCCTGTTACCCCATTGCTGTGTGTTCAGCAGATGCTCAGCCCCCAGCCCACCACAGAACAGCACAGAGCCTCCGGTACCTTCTTGGCATCAAACTCTGGCTGCACCAGAACATCAGCCCAAGCTGTGGACACCCAGAGCAGCGCCAGGATCTGGCCCACGAGGACGGATGACTTCATCCCCATGCCTGTCCTTGGCCCTTGGCGCCGTGTCTGAGCCCCAGCAGGCCCAGTTTTATAGCCCAGCCCAGGAGCAGGGCTTACCACATCAGCAGATTGGGGAGTGGAAGGCATCTGAGCTCCGGAAACTCAAGCCCTCCTTTGTCCATTGTGTGGCACAATCACTCGAGTGTCCCCACCGGCTCCAGGGGTCATTTCCTGGCAGGCCCCAGAAAGCTGGGCTCTCACCTCCAAGCTGTGGATTTGTCCCCCCTAACCTGCCAGTCAGTCCTGGGGTCAGGGGCCCAAACAGAGACTGTCGTAGCCTGCAGGGACCCGGATCCTCAGCTCCTTTGTCCATCTCTGGTCTGGCTGGGGCTGGAGGCCCAGGGCCCTTGGGGGTGCTGCTGGGAAGCATTGAGGCTCAGGTTTGCTCTAGCCAGCAGGTACCCTCTGGGGGCCTGGGTCCCCCACAGTCCTCACTCCCTCTGCTCCCCACACAGTAGTGGATTCACCACTGGCCAGGCCTCTGGACCTCATCTAGGGGCAGAGCCTGTGCCAGGGCAGATGTGACAGGTGACATCAGAGGCCAAGGCGCCCCTCACTCCAGACCCCTACTGCCTCCATGCAGCCACTTGCTGGGCCCCCAGCAAACACGTCTGGAGGGTGGGGCTGAGCTGCCACTTAGGATGGATTACGGTCTCAGAACCACCTAATCACCAGTTGCATAAGTGTTCAGGCAGGAGTGTCGCCAGGGAGGTACCACTGGCTGGTTGGGGCTTGAGGCGCCAAGGCCTTTGCAGGTGATGTCTCGTGTCCACGCAATGCCAGGAGCAGCCCGGGGTCCGTGGAGAGGGCCAGAACTACCAGTGCTCCAGAGTGGAAGGGGGTCCAGTCTGGGGTGGGAGAAAGACCCTCATCCCAGCGTGCGGGAGGGGTGGAACCGAGGCTCCTGCTTGGCGCCTCCACAGGGTTTCAGAAGGCACTGGCTCTCACCAGGCCCCTGACTCACAGGATAGAAGGCAAAGTCTTCCCATGAAAATTTTACAAAACACACATCTTCTAAAGGACTTGGACCCAGAATCTACAAAGAATTCTTAAGACTCAATAAAAAAAACCAAATACCCAATTAAAAAAAAATAAAGGAAAAAAGTGATTTAAAAAGACATTTCACCAAAAAAGGCATTCAGATGGAAAACAAACACATGAGAAAATGCTCAACATCATTGGTCCTGGGGAGAGGCAAACGGAGACCACCTGAGACACACCTACACACTTGTCTGAATAGCAGCATGTTTTTTAAAATTATCTTTGTTGTTGAAAGTATTACAAATGTCCCCCCTTCTTCCCCC